AAAAAAAAAGAAAAATTTAAACATACATAAAATTAGTTAAAATTGCTAAATACACCCATCTTCTCTTATGACTCAAGTTCAACAGTAGATATGAGCTGCTAAAACACATGGCTAACCTTGTTTCATCTGTTATTCCACCAGCAAACCCCAACCCCACTCCAGATTATTCCAAAGCTAGTCACTTCCCCATCCTTCTCCATTTCAGCAAGTATTTGCCACCACCACTGCATCTTTACCTATCAGATTCTTAGCTGTGAGACCTAGAAAGCATGTTGCTTTCTTCTTTCCATGCATGAACCCCAACTCCCACTCTCCATCCTCACCACCAGCACCTCTCCTATGACTATGGTAACAGCTTCCAACTTAAGGCCAAAGCCCAACAAAAGCTCAGTTTATGCCAAACAAACATATCTCACTTAAAATGAAAATATCATTCACTTCCCTGACTAAGCCTTCCATTATCCCCAGAATAAATTCCAACTCCTTATTCAAGAACAACCATGTATACAGCCTGGTCATCTCCTCTCTTACATCAGTCTCCCCTAAATACATCAGCCTTCTTCCTGGCTCAAAACCCTGGCATCCTAGCCTGGCTGCCAGATTTCTAGATACATGGCTAGCTCTTTTCTTTATCCAAGTCTCAGCTCAAGTATTAAGTACAGATTTAAATGGCACTGTTGCCCCAAGCCAGTCTTTCCTCCCATAACCTTGTTTTATTTCCTTCACAGTTCTTTTACATCTGACCTCATCTGGCTTGCCCGCAAGACATATCGCAGTATAACTAAACATTCAGCATAATGCTTTAGTACCAGTACCTAAACTGGGCTAGTATATTCATTGTACCATGTATAATGAATGAGGATTCACTGCACTTGACTGGGTCGCTTTGGAGAAAGAAGGAAAAGAGCTTCACTTCTGTGAGGTCACACTCTGCCACATACTGCATTATAGTGACTGCAACTCTACAGGTCTGCCCCAGGTATAAGCAAGTAGCAGCAGTGCAGGCAACATTCTCATTTTACATAGTTTCTGTCTGTATGAACAACATCCCATCACCTCACCTTTAAGATGGCTATCACTACCACTCCTTTGCACAAAGCAATTCATTCAAGTAAATCTGCTACCAAGCTAGGATTAGTGCATGCACATTCTATCCAAAAGCAAGTATTGTGTGCCTGCAGTATGGTAGCCCCTTCCTCCAAGGAGCCTCCTTTTCTTTGCAGGCTCTCACTCTCTGAAGTGAGTTGTACGCTCCAATGAGCCAGTCTAGCTGCCAGGCCATCAGGCAGTGACCTAATCTCCCTGGAGTTCCTATAACTACCACTAAATAACGGGTGCCCCAGGTATCTCTCTACAGCCTGTTTTGTCACTGGGGACAATATGGTGAAGATTACAACTCCTGAGAAAAAAAGCACATGAAAGACACATCCCTTCCTCACACAGAAGCACAAAATCCCCTCAAAAGGCAGAAAATTGTGCAGTTAAATGTGGACATAGTCTACTCTCCAACTATGCAGCCCATCCCACTCAAACCCATACCTCAGCAAAACCCAGGTCAAGCACACCGTTGAGCACTGAAAGATCAATGCTGAGAACCACAGTGTCTCTGAAGGTCTCTGGCCCAGGAGACCAGCCCTTTGGCTTTACTAACTAACCACTGTGTCATCAGTAATTCTCCACAATGCTCAATTAAACCAAGTGATATCTTTTGTTGTAATAAAAACTGATTTGATTATCAGAGACCTGAGGTGATGGGCTGAGTCCTTCCCTTATTGAACAGGTCCTTTAAACTTCAGTCAAAGCTATGAGTTAGGATTAAAAAAAATTTTTTTAAAGGACAATTTCAAAGTAAAAGCGCTCTTGATGATCACTCTAGGAACGAAAGGCACACACTAGTACTACCTCAGTCACATCAGGATGCAGGATGGTCCTGTCAAAATCTCTGCATCTTAATTCCCCCATCAGTGAAACGAGAATAGGAATGCTATACCTCATTCCCAGCATGGCTATAAGAATCACATACCAATCTATTGTGGAATTAGAAGCTTTGTAAACAGAAAGGCAACAATACACATAAGACACTGTAGGATAAAAGTAACAGTACCAGTGAACCAGAATTAGCTTTTCCAAAATCAATTAAGTGCACAAAATCAGTTTCTATGGACTAGAGCTCCACTAAAAACCTGAGGACTGTGGCTTGTCTAGCACTTTCAATGCCCAGTACATGGTGGCTGGCATATTTCCAAATAAATGAATGCATAGGAATGATCTAATTAGAACCATTCATTGCCAAATGGTCCCACAAAACTGATGGACATAGTGTATCTTGCTCAGTGGACCAATCCTGCTGAGGACAAGTACAAAATGACCCATCCAATAAAATATCACTCTTGCTTGAACAATGCTTACTGCTTTAAAATATATCTACTCTTATCTTCTTGACATTTCTAAGGTTACCCCGACTTATTCTTCAATCCTTTAGGAAAAAAATCAGAACTTGAGCACATTAAATGTCATTCTATTCACAGTCCAGTTTCCTCATCAGCATGACCTCAGACTGCTTATATTTATAGTTCATGAAAAAACACTAAGATCATAAAATGGGCATTCTTAAGTCTTCCAGAGGAGATACAATGCCCGATACTGAAAGGTTGCTTCTTGGTAAGTGATTGTTCCATTCTCTATCCACTTGGGAGGAGACCACAAGGTCTTGAGCCTGGAGAGAATTTTAAGCTGCAGCTTGCTTGACTCTAGGAAAGTCCCTAAGACATATCCTAGACCACATTCATTCCATCTTTTGTACAATGTAGAAGGTATCCTATTGTTAGGCTACCAGCCGGACTTGACCTGAAGAGCAAATGATACATAGGAGCTTTGTACTGGCTAACACTGAGAGGAACTGGTCTAGTTCTGTCCTGGTCCAGCCTGCAGGTCTGTTCAGTAAGGACAAGCTCCTAATCTGTGGATAATAGTGCCCTCTGGAGAGATCTTAATGCCATACACTAAGACAGTGTTCCCAGAAAACATCCAATTCCTCCTATCTCTCAGTGCTCACTCTACTTTGGAGAGTGAAAATTAGAAACCAGAGGAAAAGAAATTAAATTAGGAAATTCTTCCTACAGGAACAGAAATTTAACCCTGTAATTTTCTGATTACTAAGAAGCTAAGATTCTTACCTCTACATGCTGTCAAGTTTACATTAACTTGCTTTGTCCTAAACTTGGATCAAAATAACCCCCTAAAAGTCCCAATATTTTTGTCCTAAATCCTGAGATGACTATCCTAATAGACAGACTGGCAACTGTTACCTCTAGGCCAGATCCGAGTTTCTAGGTAAAAACAAATTTTACTGGGACAACCACACTCATTTGTTTACATACTGTTACATCTGTTTTCACACCAGAATCTAGAAGCTATAAATGAGACATGACCCACAGAGCTGAAAATATTTACTAGCTGGCCCCTTACACAAAATTTGCCAAAACCTGTTATATTTTCCTGCCTCAAAATAATACAGGCAATAGTACAGTACAAGCTTTTAACTTTTCAAGAGGAAATCCTAATAATCCTTACATGGTATTTTTGTATGTTAAGCAAATCAAAGTATTTTCAGATTTATAATCAATGAGGAAAATGTAATTTCCTATACAACTATACACTTTCTCTGATGAGCTAATTTCATAGACTTTTAAAAAAGTCAACTTAAAGCCAAATCAGTTCCAGAGCAATTTTCTGAAAGTAGAATTTGTTTTAAAAGTAGGACTTAAACAATACATCTCCTATTGTCTCCTCCTATTAATCTATTAAGTTAAAATATCAGAACAATACAATTTCTAATCATTTTTATGTATATATAAAAAACATATTTTTAAACGATTAGCTTAAATAGACTAAGCTCATGAATCTAACTATATCTGAATAAGTGTGAAACAAGTCAAAAAAGCAAAGTTAAATATTCAGATTATATCTTTAAGTGAAAATGGCATTACTCACTGAAGTAAGGGTGAGGATCCTTTACTGCCCAGCCCTTGACACCCCTGCAGGTGGCAGGTAAGTTTCTACAATCTGAATATGATGAGAAAAATCTGTGCTTGGGAAGGGCAACAAGAGCTCATCCACCTTTCTCCTCAGATGTTAGTGTTCCCTTCATGAAATAGGAAGTGGTTCTGAGGATGACTAAAGATGAATAAGACATGTCAAAAAAAAAAGGGGGGGGGGGAGGGAAAAAAAAAAAATGTCAGCTCTAAAATATAACCCTAAGCATCATACCTGTAAGGACAATTCTCTTGACTGCTGCTACATTCCCTCACCAAAAATTAATTCATTCACCCATGTTTAAAGAAAAAAGATTCAGTACTTCTCTATCATCTTAAATTGTCTTCTGTTAGAAAATCTCAGAACAAAAAAATAAATTTACTGTCCCTGTCCTTCAAAGGGACCAACCTCAACCAATGTCTCTCCCTTAAGCCAGTGTGCAAACTGTCCAACCACGCAACCCTGCCCGGCCCCAAAGTTACAAACCTCCTGCCGAATGACACTCGCAGTTCTCTCCAAGTGATCAGTTTTCCTTTTGGATTTCATTACGCTTTAATAAAAAGTAAAATTCGGTTAAGTATTACCCTCTAAAAACATAAGATTAGTTTCCCCTGTAATGTCATGGTAATTCAAAGGTATAATATTATGCAAAACAGCCAGGGAAAATTAACACAACTAACTAAAATTTAACAAGCTGTGGTGGTATGCATACTGAAGCCAGTCTATTGCTTTTTTTGAGTGTTTGGCAAGCCTCCCAGAACTATCTGCTGGTCAGATCTCTGAAAATCAACCTAACATGACACTTCGGGCTGATCACTCACCTGGTTTGAGCAAGGTGACGCAAAGTGCTGGATGTCAACTTCCACAAAGCAGACCGAGTACAAATGGCACCAACAGAGCCTCGCAATAACCTGGGAATCAACAGGGCAGCACAGGCCATGGTGCTTCCTGGCAAACATAAAACTGAAATTTAAAATCATTTTCAGAAGAAGTAGAGAAATAAGACCATTTTAGCAATTAGTGAAAAGAGTGTGAATTTCTGTGCTGTTACAAAGCAAGCAGGGCCTGCCTTTACCTGGCAAGATTGCAGGCAGTGTTCAGAGGTGATTGACACACACACAGGACTTAAGTACATAGTGGCCACTATCAAATACAGTCATACATTACTAACAATCAACAGAGATGGATTTAGAGAACTGCTTCATTAGGCAAGCTCATCACTGGGCAAATTCCATCCAGTGTACTTATACAAACCTAGATGGTATAGGTTAATTATTCAACATGGCCTTTTGAGGTGATCAAAAGACACAATAAGCATGTGTGAGGGGCTAGGAAGGTGGCTAGGAAGGTAGAGCGCTTGCCTTGCATGCATGAGGCCCTGGGTTCGATTCCTCAGCACCACATAAGCAGAAAAAAAAAGCCAGAAGTGGTGCTGTGGCTCAAGTGGTAGAACATTAGCCTTGAGCTGAGGGACAGCTCAAGATCTGTCCAGGCCCAGAGCTAAGGCCCACGACCGGACCCAAAAAAAGAAAAAAAAAAAAAAAAAGCATGTGTGGGATGCTGCTGGTATGATATGGAAAACTGCTTTACAGTAGACTATCAGCAAAAGAAGTATGTCCTAAAATAATGAAAAACAGTACAGAATTATTCATCAAGTATTATGTGCCATGTATTATTATGCCCTTTTTTTGGGGGTAGAGATGAGGCATGAACTAAGAGTCTCATGCAAGCAGATTCTATACTACTTGAGCCACAGCCTCAGCCCTTTATGCTTTAATCATTGTTTGAATACAGTCTTATGTTTGTTTACACCTGGGCTGACGTAGATCACAATCTTCCATTCATGCTTCCAGAGCACTGGGATACATACCCCATAACTCCCAATTTTATTGGCTGAGATGGAGTCTTGAGAACTTTTTGCCTGGGCTGGCATGAAACCAAAATCCTCCCTCATTACCCAACTTCCTGAGTAGCTGAGAGTACTGAAATACTGTGTCCACCTGTGCTATACTTTACATGACTAGCAGTACAGGTTTGTTCATATTGGCATCACCATAAACACCAATTATGCTGTTATGGCCAATGTACTAGGCAATAGGAATTTTTCATCTCCATTATAATTTTATGGGACATATATTTGGTCCCTTGTGGACTAAACATCATATGTGACATCTGACATATATTCATGTTCTCTAATGGTTCCCAAAACCTCCAACCAAATTGATATGACAAATTTCACACTATTAACAGAGTAGGATTTTATGTCAAAAGGTAATTGTATTCCACTTTAAGAGTTTCATGTAAGTTGTTAGTATTTGTTAGATAAAATGCATGAGACAAACTTAGTCAGGTTTCCAAACATAAAAAGCTTAAAATTCCCAGACACTAAAAGCTAGTACAGATGGTAATACTAGTCACAACAGCCCAAAGTAATGACTATCAAAAAGGCCACTCAAAGAGTAAACAGGTTATAACCACAAAGTTATACCTACTACCCAATAATGAGAATGAATAAACTGCAATTAGAGGCAATAACTGAATATCACAAATATCACACTGAATAAAAAAAAAGCCAGACTCAAAGGAATATTCATTTTCTTTGATAAACCTTTTTTTTTTCTTTTTCATCTGCACACTGTCCCTGACCTTCTTTGTGCTCAAGGCTAGCTCTCTACTACTTGAGTCACAGTGCCACTTCTGGCTTTTTCTGAGTAGTTTATTGGAAATAAGAGTCTCACAGACTTTCCTGCCTGGGCTGGCTTCAAACTGATGTTAGAAATCCAGTTAGCAGTTATGCTTGAGCGGTGGCTGGTGAAAGCACTAATTTTGGTGCTGAATGCCTATTTTCACTTTGAATAGATTTATCAAGCTGTCCTTTTAGCAGCTAAGTGCTTTTCTGTCTGCATACTTTAACCAAAAGTTAAAAATAAGCTGGGAGTGGGGCTCACACCTGTAATCCCAGCTACTCAGGAGCCATGGAGGATCATGGTTCAAGGCAAAATGTTCTTGAGACCTCTATCCTAATAAAACTTGGGTAATAAGAATGGTAGTGTGTACCTGTCATCAGTTATGCAGGAAGGTTAAATAGGAAGACAGCAGTTCAAGGCTGCCCTGGGCATAAACAGGAGCCCTATTTGAAAAATAACTAACACAAAAGGACTGAGGGAATGACGTAAGTAGTAGAGCATCTGCCTGGCAAGCATAAGGACCTCAGTTCAATTCTCAATATGGCTGGAAAAAAGAGGCGAGGCTTTGTTAAAATAAAATACACACAGAAAGGTCCCCTGACACTTCACTTCTTAAAATTATTGGACTATCTGAAAAGCACTGGTTAGAAGTCAACAATAATTTTGGCTTCTCCTATGTTATGCTAACTTTAAGTACTTCTTTGCCTAAAACAGCCACATAAGCTTTATTGTCATATCTGCCTTTTCCAAGATAGGAAAGGTCACTAATATAAGTGACCTTGAGAACAAGTAAAAATGACAGCCCTACTACCCTGAACGTCCCTGATCTCATCTGATCTCTGATCTTGAGAATAAGTAAACATGTATATGAGCATTTTTTTCCTGAGCACTTTGGAATTTACTATATAAACTGTAATAAATTTTAACGTTAGGAAAATAGACAAGACAATGAAGTGTTTATTAATTTTATTAAGCCCCTGGGCATCATCCCTTAGTCTTTTTGCTCAAAGCTGGTGCTCTACCACCTGGGCAACAGCTCAAAGTCTGGCTTTTTGGTGGTTAACTACAGATGAGAGTATCACATGCTTTCTTGCAGGACTAGTGTTGAACTACAATCTTCAGATTTCATCCCCAAGTAGCTAGGATTACTAGCATGAGCCACCAGCTTCCAGCTTCATGACATTTTTTTCTTCTTTGGTGCCAGTCCTGGAGCCTGACCACAGGGCCTGGGTACTGTCTCAGCTTTTCTGCTCAAAGCTAGTGCTCTACCCCTTGAGCCACAGCTCCACTTCTGGCTTTTTTGGTAGTTAGTAGGAGACAACAGTCTCACAAACTTTCTTTCTGGGGCTAACTTCAAACCACAATCCTCAGATCAGCCTCCTGACTAGCTAGGATTATAGGCATGAGCCACCAGCACATGGATCATGAATTTAATTTTTCACTTAACAAATAGTCACTAAGAACCAGTATGAATAGGCGCTAGCCTACATTCTGGTGATACAAGCATGAAGAAAACAGACACTCTCTAAGACTATCAGTTCTAGCAGGCAATGAGAGAAAATGAAAAAAAAAAAAAGATAGTGGCAACGTAAATTAGGCAAAATGCATTCCATCAAAACCAAGTTCAATGAAGCTCACTCCTTTATAACTAGTCTCTCCAGCAAAAGGTCTTTCTTCTTGTCAGAGTATGAGGCAGCACTGTGAATAATCATGCTACTGGCTATTTTCTCTCTAGTAAATAAAAAAAGCATATGGCCTCTTTCACCTCAGAGAGAACTAGTTTTTCTTTTGTGAATATACTTAACAAAAATAAAGGTAAGTTAGTATCACTGAAAGAAAAAAAGGTAAAGCTTACCTTACAAGTCATTAAGTGTAAGGCTAAGGAGCAGGCAGAAAATATGTAGGTATTATGCTAGTATTATGCTGAGACCTCTGGATATATTCCACTTAGGAAATGAAGCATTTTTCATATACTGAAAGTCTCATAAAGTTCCTGCAATGTTAGAGATAATAGGTTAGGAACAATGTTTTTGGAAGTTGGAAAAGTCTTCCTAGGTTTAAGCTGCAGATGAAAAGACTGATTACAATTAGCAGTCCTCATCACAAGTACTCTCTTAATTACCTGGTTCCCATCATTCTTTTTATTTTTTTCAGGCAGGCAAGCATTTATTAGAGAATTTCTTTGGGTATTTAAAATTCTTTCCATTTATAAAACATTGATTAGAAACACTACTTTTTTTTCTATCGTGGTCTATAACATTTATGAGTTCTATGAGCTTTGACAATACAGTTATTTCTTCCACATCAGGTGATACGTACATTTCTTTCGTTTTGCATAGTATCAGCTGTTCCCACTTTCCCACTTGTTCCCTCCCTCCCATTGCTGCCATTGAGTTGCTTAGTTCATTTTGGTCAATGTCCAGTGCAGCTGATGGGTCCCACTGTTGTATGTTTTTCCCTGATTCCCTCTAGTTCTGTGTCCTCCTCCTGGTTTCCCTCCCGTGTACACATATATACCATATATGTCATCAGCAGCATGGTGTTATTTAGTGGTGATTCGACCTGATGAGTGGAAGTTTCTTAAGTCTTGTTAACTTTGTCATATCACCTTATGTTTTGAATTTAAAATTCACTTATCAGGGAGACCATGTGCCATTTGTCTCTTTGCTCTTGGCTTACCTCACTCAACATGAGTTCTTCTAGTTCCCTCCATTTCCCTGCAAATGCCATTATTTTGTCCTTTCTAATGGCTGCATAATATTCCATTATGTATAGATACCACAATTTTTGGATCCATTCATCTGTGGTGGGGCATCTGGGTTGTTTCCATATCCTGGCTATTGTGAACAGTGCTGCAATAAACATGGAGGTGCATGTGTCCTTGTATCCTGGTTCTGTTGTTCAGGATAGATGCCTAGAAGTGGTATGACTGGGTCGTAAGGGAGGTCAATATTTAGCTTTTTGAGGACCCTCCAGACTGCTTTCCAAAGTGGTTGTATAAATGTACATTCCCACCAGCAGTGTAATAGGGTTCCTCTTTCTCTGCATCCCCTCCAGCATTTGTCGCTGACTGACTTGAGGATGTGGGCCGTTCTGACTGGGGTAAAGTGGTATCTCAGGGTTGTCTTTATTTGCATTTCCTTCACAACCAGGGATAGGGATTTCCTCATGTGTTTCTTTGCCATTTTTATCTCTACTTCTGAGAAGTCTCTCTTTAGTTCCCTTGCCCATTTAGTAATTGGTTTGTTAGGTTTGGGAGGGATTAGTTTCTTGAGTTCTCTGTATATGCTAGATACTAACCCCTTGTCTTATATATTGCTGCTAAATATTTTTTCCCAGTTAGTTGGTTGTCTTTCTAGCTTGGTTGCTATGACTTTAGCTGTGCAGAAACCTTTTGTTTCAAGGTAGTCCTATTTGTCGAGTCTCTCTCCAATTTGTTGTGACCCTGGGACTCTGTTCAGGAAGTTCCTGCCTATGCCTATAAGTTCAAGTGTCTCTCCTACTCTGTCCTGCAGGGGTTTCAGAGATTCAGGTTTGAGCTTAAAGTCTTTAATCCATTTTGAGTTGATGTTAGTACATGGTGATAAGCTGGGGTCCACTTTTAGTTTTCTGCATGTGGCTGCCCAGTTTTCCCAGCACCAGTAGTTGAAGAGACTGTGTTTCTTCCACTGTATGTCTTTGGTTCCTTTGTTAAATATCAGCTGACTGTAGGGGTGTGGTTTTATTTCTGGATCTTCTATTCTGTTCTATTGGTCTTTGGGTCTGTTTTTGTGCCCGTACCAGGCTGTCTTTGAGGTTCCCATCATTCTTAGGCCTGATGTTGCCATTCCTGGTTTCACTATTTCTCTTCCTGCTTCCCTTGTCCATCTTCCTTAGCTCATCTTAACTCCCACTACTCAGGATGTCCATCCTTCCATAGCATTTGCATCCTGCCCTCTGGTGGCCATCCCTGAGACCTGCCACCAAGGTTGTGTTTAGTTTCTGCCCATTCTGACCTCATATTCATTGAAGAAAGCAATATCATACATAGCCAAAGGCCAGAGTAACATGGCTATATGACATGTAAGGCCAAATCTAACTGTTAAAATTAAACACAGAAATACTGTGCTGATTAATACTTCAATAATTACTTCTAAAATAGTCTTAGTGATAGGGTATTTGGGTGGCTGTTGTGTACTTCTACTTTGCAACCCAACTGAAAAACAAAAGACATCTTCACATTAAAAGCCATTCTCACCAGCCACTAGTGGCTCATGCCTTTAATACTAGCTACTCAGGAGGCTGAGATCTAAAGATGGTGGCTTGAAGCCAGCCACAGCAGTAAAGTCCATGAGACTCTTATCTCCACTCAACTACCAAAAAAGCTGTGGCTCAAATGATAGAGCACTAGTCTTAAGCACGGAAAGCTCAGGGACAAAGCCCAGGCCCTTAGTTCAAGCTCCAGGAGCTGTACCAAAAAATAAAATCAAACAACAAAACAAAAAACACCCTTCTCTTTCAAACACTGAGTCCTTGTTCTGTAACAGTAATCATGACCAAGAGTGCCACCTACTGACAAATAAAGCACATGCTTACAAAACTGAAGTGCCAATTAGAATTAGGTTTGTTTTCTGTTTTAGTGAGTGTATATGGACATGCGCGCACGTGCACCGGGTTTGGGGCTTGAACTCAGGGCCTGGGTGCAATCCCTGAGCTTTCTGTGCCCAAAGATAGTGCTCTACTACTTGAGCCACAGCTTCATTTCTGGCTTTTGGCTGGATAACTGGAGATAAGAGTCTCAAGGCGGCTGGCTTTGAACCATGATCCTCAGATCTCAGCCTCCTGAGTACCTAGGATTACAGGTATGAGCCACTAGCACCTGGTAGTTTTTTCTTTTAAAAAAGAAGGAGGAGGAGGAGGAGGAAAAGGAGGAGAAGGAGGAAGAAAAGGAGGAGGAAGATGAGGAGAAAGAGGAGGAGGAGAAAGAAGAGGAGGAGGAAGAGGAAAAAAGGACAGGAGGAAGGAAGGAAGGAAAGGAAGGGAAGGAAGGAAGGAAGGAAGGAAGGAAGGAAGGAAGGAAGGAAGGAAGGAAGGAAGGAAGGAAGGAGGGCTAAGAATGTGGCTTAGTGGAAGAGTGCTTGCCTAGCATGCAAGAAGCCCTGAGTTCGATTCCTCAGTACCACATAAACAGAAAAGGCTGGAAGTGGCACAGTAGCTCAAGTGGCAGAGTGCTAGCCTTGAGCAAAAGAAGCCCAAGGACAGTGTGCAGGCTCTGAGTTCAAGCCCCAGGACCGGAAAAAAAAAAGAACTATCCACTTTTGTATGACCAAGGTTTATTCTTTTCAGTGAAAATATTTAATCAGCCAAAGCGGATCAACATATACTAAATAATCTCTAAAGCCATAGAAATATTCCATCACTGTTGTCTCACAAGCTCTATCTTACCAAAACTCAATTTCTAAAAAAAAATTATAATTCTAAATAAAACTAAGTAGCAAAACAAATTGATGCAAGCAACAAATTTAAGATTAATTACACTGATTTAAGCTCCACAAGTAGAGTTCCCACAACAATTCCAGGGTGCCAGGTATTATTTGAGGTCTTGGAGATACATTCCCTTGCCAGTGAGAGAGAGATGATGACAATTGACTATATTTCAGAATTAGAACTCTACAACTTGCTGATAGAAGGGGTGTCAGAAAAACAAAAACCCAAAATGCCTCACTAGAGGCACTTGAATACAAGAATGCCCTGAAAGATTGTACATGTACAGAGAAATCATGGTACCTTTCAGTTTCAATTCCTAAATGTTACTTTCTAAGAGAGATACAGCTTTACTGGTATGCAGAGTGTCTGGTCCAGAAACAGCAGTACTGAACTAAGTAAGGTGTGACTCTTTCTTGATTTTTGCTGTTACATCTCAGATAAATCATCTTTTACCATTTCCACAATACCCACTTACCTCACTGGATTGCTGAGAGGATTAAATAAAACAATGTCTGTAGAAGTACCCAGCAAGCAAGAGTGTAATTTCCTAGTACATGTACCTCCTCCTCCTTGCCAAATAACCTACATCACATACTTCGCTATGGTTTTATTTTCTTCACCACCACACAAGTCAAACTTGGGAGAACTATTAGAGGAACTGCATGTACCTAGACAAGGGGGATGGGCAAGAAGACAAAATGGAAACATGAGAGTCTAATAGACCCCATACCCAGACAGAAAAGGCCATGAGACTCTTATCTCGAATTAACCACCAGAGAACTGGAAGTGGCACTGTGGCTCAAAGTGGTAAAGTGCTAGCCTTGAGCAAAAGAGCTCAGGGACAGTGCCCAGGCCCCAAGTTCAAGCCCCATGACTTACAAAACAAAGATTGACTAGACACGGTAGCTCACTTGTGAAATCCCAGATACCTGTTGGGATATGGGGAGGCGACAAGAGAATCAAAATTTGAGGACAGCTGGGGCAAAAAGTTACCAACACCACCATCTTTATCAGTATGCAAAGTGATGCTTCACACCTGTGATACCCAGCTATCTAGGAGGCCATAGTTGTAGTCTGAGGCTGGCTCCAGGCAAAAACACAAGACGAGATACAAAAACTTACTAAAGCAGCAAAGCACTAATGGGTCACACCCCCGTAATCCTAAGCACTTGGGAGAACTGCAATTCGAGGTCAGCCAAATGAAAAAGTTCTTGGGCATGGTGGCCTATCCTGTCATCCCAGATAAAACAAGAAACATACCCCATTGTAAGCCCCCCTGGGCAAAAGGTGAGAGCCTATCTCAAAAATAACTAGGGCAAAAAGTCTGGGGGCATGGCTCTAGTGGTAAAGCACCTGCCTAGCAAGTGTGAAGCCTTGAGTTCAAACCCCAGTATCACCGCCACCCCTCCAGCAAAAAAAAAAAAAATTTGCTGAAGCCCAAAGGGCTGGAGTATGACTTAAGTGGTAGAGGCCCTAACGATGGTTAAGAAGGGGAAAAGCCCAAAGAAGTGAGTCTCTGATTCCCAGAGATCAACTGTAATCAAGTCAGATCTGAACCAAGACTGTTTCCCAGGGTTTTATCATTTACGTGGCATTGCTTCTCTACTGAGAATGAGTGACTGCCTAGAAACAGCGACACCCTTGGTACCTAACCCTACTTTCTAGCCAAACCACTTTGTATCTGCAGTAAGAGGCCTCGCGCAGCTAACATTGCCTATGACTCCCTTCCTCCCATGAGAAACTTAGGTTCGGATAGGTAAGCTGGTTGTGGTGGACTTTTGGAGACCGTCAGGCACTTCATTTTTCCCAGATATGTGATGTCGGTCAAGATGCCACTCTCTGCAACTCGGTGTCAAAGACGGAAACTTAAATCCCCAGGGTCCGCCACAGACTTGTACTTGAGGCTTACGGGTAACGTAACAAATGTCCAAGGATAAAAAGTTACTGCCTACCACCGTGGCGAACAACGCCACGTGCCCGACCACCTGAAGGACTAGGCCTCGCGCCCTCGTTCTGGCCTTGGTCCTCTCAGCAGCACGGTTTAGGGAACCGGAGTGTGTCTGGGGTAACCTTGGCGCGGAGGTACCTGCAGCCGGCAACCGCGTCCTCAGCTCGAGGCGAAGCTCCTCCGGCACAGGGAAGGCTGCAGAGGCAGCAGCACGGTCGTTCCGGTCGCCGCCCGCCACCGGCAAAAGCGGCGCCCTCGCGCTCTGAGGCCGGCGGACGCGGGCTCAGGGCTCGCTAAGGTCAGCTGCCTGGCGCAGCCATCAGGCCGCCCGAGACACCACGGGTAGGGACGCCGGCCAAATTCCGTCACCGCGCAAGGAAGCCTCGGCGGTCCCGATGTGATGACGTAGGCAGCTGTCGCAAACCTCCCGTGCTATTGGTCACTGCCGTCCAATGGAAGGAGCGGTGCCATCTTTCCAAGGTCTCCGGCCCCTCTCTACCGTGACCGTACCGCGGTCACCCATTTGGCAGCGAGGCTGGCGTCGCGTCATCGCCTGTGCGCCGGAAGCGGTAGTTCCAGGGTGTGGGCGTGGCGAAGATGCCGGGTCCGGGCCGGCGCCCACCGCAGTAGACCTACCGGGACGGTGCTGCGCAGACCGACGGACGGAGCGTCTGCTCCCAGTCAACCCTGGTGACCATGGCGGTGTTTCACGACGAGGTGGAGATCGAAGACTTCCAGTATGACGAGGACTCGGAAACCTTTTTCTACCCCTGCCCGTGTGGCGATAACTTCTCCATCACCAAAGTAACTTTGGGGTCCCACCCGGCAGCTCCCCGGAACACGCGGGGTTTCGCCGCGCTGTTGTTATCCCTGGCCCTGCCGCCGTCCTCGCGGCTCTGAGGCGCTCCTGTCAGTTTTCCTGATGCTGACTCCCCGCAAAGGAAAGCAGTGGGTTCTTCTTTCTGACCTTCTGTATGTTTGTCCTGCCTCCAAGCTGCTTCCTGGGATGTCTCTTAGGAGAAGGGGCGTCGCCCAATGTTTCTAGTGTTTCCCCCACTAACACTTAGAGAGGAAAACAAACGGGCAAGATCCTTTGGGCTCCCACCTATCCGTGGAAGAGGCAGGCCACCACCGAGGGATGGGAGAGGTGAAGGGAAGGTGATACTGACCACGTGGTTTGATTTCATTATAGGAAGATTTGGAGAATGGGGAAGAAGTGGCAACGTGTCCCAGCTGTTCTCTTATTATAAAAGTAATTTATGACAAAGTAAGTGGTACATTGAAAAGCGGGAGGGGGGAGGAAAGGGGGAATTTGGGTTATTACTGATTGCTCTAGAGAAGATGGGCATGTTTTAAGACACTTAAGTAATGAATTTAGGAATAAAATTCACTTCCAACTCTGGAGCTAATATTAACTGTTTCAACAAGAATGAAGTGACATAGGAGTTGAAAAATAACAGATGGAACGATTCTGTAACAAAATGAAAATAATGTTAATGCTTTTGTGGCAAAGAAACTGAGTGTAATGTCTTTTCTCATTCGGTCTTAGGATCAGTTTATGTGTGGAGAAACAATCCCAGCTCCTTCAGCCAACAAAGAATTAGTTAAATGCTGAAGAAACCTTCAGAGTCCAAGTCCTAAAGAGTTGGCGTTGAGCCAGGATGGAACTATCAAGTGCAAAGTTACTGGCTTCTTTACGGGGACATCTGTTTTATGGCTTGTCGTGAATGTAGATCTTTTAAGAACTGCCAGGTTCATCTTCAACTAGAAAAGTGAGCTGCTCATGACATGTCAGACTTGGATTTCATGCTTAGAGCTTTGAAGTATAAGTTGGAAATATACTTGATCCATTTGGATTTCAAAAAAAAAAATCAGTGCTTCCTCTCAGTTTTATCACTTTTGCATTTTCATCCTAATTCATTAATTATAACAGCATTATCTACCTCAGTCATTAGAGCTCCAAAGTTAAAAGGAAGTTATATTTTTTTATTTAACTATTAAGATTATTAAAATTAGCCCTTTCTCTGACAGTTGACGTCAGCTCTGTCATTCTAAGAAAATCCTATGTTAATCAGGGCTGCTGCTCCATTTCCATTGCCAAGCCAGTCTCCTAACATTTAATGCATATAGTTCAAGTGTCCTGTTAAAGAGAAAATGTAGGCCCAATTTCTCCATAGTGGCAAGTTAGTGATGAAAGTAGAAAGATCTAAGGTGAAATGATCAGAGAAATGGAGTCTGTAATACTCCGTGTTCCTTGAAAGTCAGGACAAGATAAAAAGGAAAACTGCCAAAGGAGAGAAATAGATCAGAGGAGTGAAACATGACTACTTAGTAAATTAAATGCTTGAATGATTTTTCCAGATCAGAAGAAATACTTCTGAATCTCTATTTATTTGATTTTTTTTTTGAAGCCCAGGTCTATGTAGCTGAGTCTGGTCTCAAATTTGTCATCCTCCTGCCTCAGCCTGGGATTTCAGACATGGATCATCACCATGCCTCGCTCTTTGTACATTGATAAGAATGATGAAATAGTCTTTCAGTAGAGGTTAATGGCAGGTCTTTGCAGCTGGTGGCAGTGCATGCCAAATCTCATGGCCTTATGTTGTTATCACTAAAAGATCAAGCATCTACAACAGAGAATAACTTTGACAGTGGGAGAGAGCTCTAAGTAAATGTGCCCATGAGGACATATCCAGCATGCTCCATAGCATGCAACCAAAGCAGATGTGCATAGCTGCCAAGAAATGCTACCTGCAGAAAGAAATATATGAAGCTAGGCTCTCAATCTTCCTTGGCTGCAGTGCTGAAATTAGGAAAAAGTCAAAATCATTTACATGGAAAACTGAAAGCTCCCTTTATAAACAACTTTGATTTGTGAAAATTCACTAATCTGGCAGGTTGTTTTGGGGAATGGCTCCTACTATTAGAAAATAGTTTGCTAGAATGTGGGTGTTCATTTTCCTGATTTTGATAAATGTGTTTTACTGACTTGTTGGAGGTTTAAATTAAAACATACAAGTGGACTTTTTGGTCGTTTGCGTTTTTTTTTTCTTTTTGCAGGGAGTGGTCTCTTTATTTGTTTAGATTTTTTTTTGTTTGGGGGTTTGTTTGGGGTTTCTTTGAGACAGGGTCTCATGGTGTAGCCCAAAGTAGCCTGGAACCCATGGTATAGCCAAGTCTGGCCTCAACTCTCACCTTTATGCATTAAATGCTGGAATTATGGGCAGGTACTACCATACTTTGTTGTAAGTAGGTTATCTTGGCAGCAGATCAATTGCATGCAACTTGAGGCTAAGACCTTCTAAGTTAAAATTTGTGTGCCAGAAGTGCTTAGAACATTATATGGCATATTCTCTTTTTGTGTGTGTGAAAATACTGTACAGAGGGGTTACAATTACATGGGCAAGGATATGGCATATTCTTGATGTGATGAGATATCTCCTTACTGGTTGAGACATTGATGCCCCAGAAATAATACACAAGTCTTTTCCAATGTGTCAATCAAGAATTCTTACATTATCAACCACTGCAGACTTAAGTCAATTTCTTTTTTCTTTTTTTTTTTCTTTCTTTTTTTTGGCCAGTCCTGGAGCTTGAACTCAGGCCTGAACACTGTCCTTGAGCCTCTCTGTGCTCGAGTCTAGCACTCTTCCACTGAGCCACAGGGCCACTTCCAGCTTTTTCTGCTTATGTGGTACTGAGGAATCGAACCCAGAGCTTCATGTATGCTAGGCAAACACTCTACTGCTAAGCCACATTCCCAGTCTCACTTATTGTTGATTAAGTGTATTGCAGGGTGATTTAAAGGTACAGGTCAGGCTGGAACTGGTCCCATGTTCCTCTCCTTGGCCTGTGGACTATTGGGTCAAAAGTACAGTGCCCATTCACACCACACATGCAAACTTCAAATCTGCTTGCATCATGGCTGCCAACATTCCATTGACCAAAACAAGTCATATAGCCAAGCCCGAAGTCTAGAAGCAAGGAAATAAAATGATCTTATGGAGGTGATGGATTGAAGGAAATGAAGGAATTTTATTTGTATGTGTGCTGGTACTGGGCTTGAGCTCAGGGCCTGGGCGCTGTCCCTCAGCTTTTTTAGGCTGGCATTCTACCACGTTAGTCACAGCTCCACTTCCAGCTTTTTGGTGGTTTATTGGAGATAGTCTCATGGACTTTTCTGCCTACACTGGCTTTGAATCACGATTATCAGATCTCAGCCCAGTGAGTAGCTAGGATTACAGGTGTGAGCCACCGGTGCCCATCAGGGAAGGACTATTTTTGAAAAGAAATGCCATCTACCATAATTATTGTTCATCAGACTTGGTATTTCAACCCAAGCTTTTAACTCCAAATACTATTTTCTTCTGTGGCAGTTATACTTGAATAACTTTTGAAGTGAAAAAAAAAAACAGAAAAACACCACAAATGATGGCCGTGTAAAACATTTTAAGAACCTAGTCAATTTCATCTCCTTGGCCACATGCCAGGCAACAGTCCCATTAATTAATTTTGTGTTACTTATATTTTGAGGTGAGTGACACTAAAACTCAAACCATTTCAATGGAACTCTGTCAACAACAGGTTAAGGAGGACTGCTTACCTACTCTGTTTCCTGGCTGCTGGCACTTTAAGATGAATTACTTTGAGTGTTTTTGCTGCAACTAATGCCCCCGTATTTTTCAGAGGGGCTCAACCATTTGTTATGTAGACTTTTTCAAATCAGGAGAGCATCTCCCACTTCAAATCTGATACAAAAGTATAGACATAGCTAACATCTCGAACTTAGACCTTGAACAAAATCTGCTGCACATAGCTTATAAATTCCTAGCAGATTCTGGCCTATTACTGACTAGCCCATCTGGCTTGGCCCAAGCATCTTCCACACCATGCTGAGTTCAGAGGTGAGGCGAAAGAGGGAAATTAGTGAAATTATGAAGCAGAACTTTGTGTTTGGAAAAAAAAAGATTTGTTAATAGTTCCTCACTCTAAATTGGATAAATGTGCATTCATTCAACAAATATGCTCCAAGTATTTTTTTTGTTTATGAAAGCTAAGCCTATTAATCACATATGGGAGAATTTTTTCAAATAAAAATATGTTACAGAAACGAAGAAAATGATGGAAATAGTTATCATCATTCAGTTGCTCAAATGCATATATGAGTTGTCCTTAAATGACTGGAAGCTTCATTCTCTATGTCAACAAGGAATTACTATGTGGACATAAGAGGCAAAAGGAGGGCCTGACCTTGAGCAGATGGTTCCTGTTCTTGCTTGCTCACGTGTTCCTGCCCCATCTGTGGACTCTGTGGTTGGTGCCCTGAGCTAAGAGGCCAAAAACATAGTGGTCACCTCTCTTGGCATTTCTCTCACCTGTAATCCATGAGTGAGGATGTTGAAGAAACAATATCTAAGGCCTCCTATGTGACTTTGAGCAGGCACATGACCTGGTAAAGGATCAGCCCCTTAGAGCTTCTTCTAGAAGGAATAGGGGAGGTGGAGGGAGTGAAGTGAATAGCAATGCTTGCCATGGCCTGTAGGAGGAGCCAAAGCCTCACTAGACTCCAACCCAGACCAGCAAACAGCCATGTGCAGTCACCAGCAATCACAAACTTTCCCAAGCAGAGGCCTGTTTAATGTCAGTGTCTGAGGCAGCTGAGAATTTACCAGAACTTCACCCTGAGTAGTTATGGGCCTCAGTGACATCTCAAAATGTACTGAATGGGCTTTTGTGCTCTGGGTTCCCATTGTCCAACAAGGCAATTTTGTCCAACTTATGGCTTTTTAAATATGAAGTTGGCTAAAATTAAAAGAACAAGGCATTCCTTCAACAGACAATACCATCAGATTTCACACATGCATCATGGCTTGTAGTTGTCAGTGGATGGCTCCAGGAAAGAGCATCTCTGTCACCATAGGAAGTTTTTTATTTTTTTATTTTTATTTTTTTGTTGGTTGTGGGGCTTGAACTCTGGGTCTGGGCGCTGTCCCTGAGCTCTTCAGCTCAAGGTGAGCACTACCACTTAAGCCACAGCATCACTTCCGGTTTCCCAATGGTTAATTGGAGATAAGAGTCTCATGGACTTTCCTGCCCCGGCTGGCTTTGAACCATGATCCTCAGTTCTCAGCCTCCTGAGTAGCTAGGATTACAGGTATGAGCCATCAGCACCCAGCAAATTACAGGAAGTTTTTATCAGCAGGTCTGTTCTGAAACAGTCTATGGTACTCACAAGCTGCAGAAATATGTAATGCCTCTCCTAAGATTTTATATTGCCTTTTTCCTTTCTTAAAGTCTGCATGTAATATACATACACATATATGTACATATGTACAAACATATATACATGGTGTTTGGGCCTAGGGCCTCGCAGGCACCCTGCACATGAGGTATATTTCTAACTCTTTTTACGTTAGTGATTTTCAGCTAGTATCTTGTTTTTACCCAGGGCAACTAGGACCACAATCCTTCCACCTCCCCCCAGCATAGCTTGGATTACAGGTGTGTACCACCATACCTAGTCTGACATTGCCTTTCTTTGGTTGCATTAGAATGTCCTGACAATGTATTCTAAGAGGGTGAAAGACCTAGGTTCCAGTCTCAGCTCTTCCACCTAAAGCTTAATAGT